AATAATACTGAAAGAAGAAGAAAAGGAAAAGGGAAAATAGTTTTAGGAAAATTTCATTTCCATATGAAAGAACAAAACAAATGTTCTTTGTGATTTCTTTAAAAGCAAGAGAAGAATTCAGCTAAGAAATTATCTAACAGGCAGCAAAATCAGAGAGTCACTTCCCACTGCAAAGCAAAAGAAACAAGGACCAAGGGGTGGTCCTGGATAGCTGTTTAGACAATCAGACAGATGGGCTGACAGTTCCTTGCCTTAGGAACTCAGTGATGTTTAAATTAACAATTGGACACCAGCCAAAGACAGAAACACTCAAAAGTTTGGAAGGGTGTTATAATTAGTACCTTGGCAAAACACAATAATAAATTAGGAGGATTCCAGAAGCCTTCTCTGCTAGACTCTGAGAAAATTTAAATTCTGTACCAAGAAACATACATTTTAATCTCTTCTATTGTAGTAGGTTAGCATCTAAAGAACACCTGTCTAAAAATCAAAGTATCTAAATCCTATCCTGTGAATCAACCTAACACTCAACTTGGCTACTTAAAAGCTAGCTATTAATAGCAGTAACTCATCGTTTCACACACTGGAGTCCTAGAATGAAAGAAACTCTATGTGTCAGTGTACTCCTATTTCTGACATCAATCTTATCATTTAACACTTTAATTTTGCAAGTCATTTTACAAAGATATTTATTATTCCTTACAACTTTCTAAAGTAATTTATTCCTTTAGTCCTGTTTCCCAGTTGAAGAGACTCCAGATCACAAAAATTATTTACTTAAACAAGTTAAAGGTAGAGCAAGAATTGTGACTCTCAGACTCTCATTGATTATACTCCTTTGTATCCTAAATCTAGAGATGGAGCAAAGCTTTTACTCAAAGAAAAAGGCAAGGCAAAAATACTATCATATGCTCTTTATTAACTGTTTCTGAAACAATAGTTTTGTGTCACCATCAGGAAGCCTCCTGGTCCACTTCTGAAATTCTTAGGGACCCAAAGGGGTATGAAATTCGAACTCTCCAAGAAGTATCTAGTTGGTGCTGACAACCTAGTTCTGTTTTCAGGTGATAAATAATCTGTTCTCTTTTTACACATCTGTGACTGGCACATCAGCTGCCTACTAACAATAACATGGAACTTTGGAACATGTTTTTACAAAGCTCATCATCTTCTTAACCTTTTCTCTGAAAAGAAATGGAGCTCATGTACTGGTTTTTTGGTAAAGGCAAAAATCTTCTTTCAGATTAGGCTCAAGAAAAGAAAAGGCTCCTTTCAGTTCAACACATACAGAAAGCATCATCCCCTTGGAAGTACAGAGTTCATAAAGAATAAAACACAGTCCCTGCCCTGAAAGGACTCTCTGAACACCTTTTAAGTGCCATGGGTTTAATATACATGTTTTAAATTAATCCTATAAACTGAGTAATTTCATTCCCATTTTATTGGTGAGTTCATGTTGCAGAGATTTGAAGCCAGGATTCCAGAGCAAGGCTCCACAGCCCAACCTCGTTCCACCTCTGAAGAAATTTAGAATCTAAAAGTATGAGTGGGATGGGTAAGACATGATGCGATTTGATTTCCTCTCCTTGCTCCAACCATATTCTGAAAGACTGTTGGAAATACCCAACCATAAAGAGGCTTTCTAAGGAAGCGCTTTGAATTCACGTATCCACTTTTCCTCACCCGCCCCTGCTCCACCCCCAACCATGCCAAAAGAGCGGCCAAGGCTGCTGCCAGGTTGGAGGAGTCGATGATCGTCACACCACATTCCTGGGTCTGGACACACACACTGAAAGCACCAGAGCTCCGCGCCTCGGAAAGAATAACAGCAGTTGAGATTTTTAAATCATGTGCCCCAGCGTGCGGCCACGCCAGTTTCCCTACAGCTTGTGCCTCCCCACCTTTCAAAGACACCAGCACCACACCCGACTCATAGAGACGACGGGAATGTCAAAACCGGGGCGCGCCGCAAAACTCTGTCCCTATCCGAACCAAACACACACACACACTTTGGCAAAGCTAAGTCTGGCTGTGAAGGTGCAAGCGGTTGGGCTGGGAGGCCCTGCCCCCGCGCTGTCCCGGGGAATCTGGCATTCCTCCGCTCAGCCCACCCGCGCCCGGCCACGGTCCGCTCAGACGGCTTGCCCTCAGCCTCGGGAACCGCCGAACCTGAAGGGCAAAACTGCCCAACTCCCCGAACCCAAATCCTCCCTAAAGGGAGTTTCTGAGACTCGCTGCCCGTCCTCCCTCCGGCCGAGGAGGCGGCGCGTGGGGAGCTGCGGGGAGCAGAAGACCGCGGGGAGCGCGGGGGAGGAGCCGGCCACGAGAGGGGCCCCGACGACGTCCCAACTTTCGGGAACCGAGGAGCTCCGCTCCGCGCCGACGGCCGAGCCCGGCCTTCCTTCACAGAGGAGGTCGGAAGGAGGGGGGAATGGGCGCCCCAGGTGGCTGGTCAGGGCGGGCGAGGTGGGGAACGGGGGACAGCGCCCCTCAGCACGATACTCACCGCGCGCGGGGGCCACGCGGCACAGCCAGAGCGCCAGCAGCGCCCACAGCGGCGCGGGGCGCAGGGCGGGCATCTTCTCGGTCGCCTCCTCCGCCGCCGCCGCTGCCTGGGCAGATCCACATGGGGAGGGGGTCCCGACAGAGGAGCCCCACTTTCGCCTCCCTTCCTCCTGCCTCTGCGGCTCACAGCCTGGCGCGACTCTCCCAAAGCCCAGGCGTAAGAGCCTCCACGTCTCGCACCCCGACTCCGCCGCTCAGTCGGCCACCGCCTCAGCCTCCGCCCGAAGCTGGGCTGAAACTTTCTTGGGTGTGCAACGAAGCAGCCTCATGTGTCCTTCCGCCTCGGCCGCCTCCTCCCACCGCAAGCCCCGCCCCTCTGTCGCCGCGGCCGCGCCGCCTTGGGCACCCAGGGGTTTCCCGCAGGAAGAAGCGCCGGCCGAGCTCCGCGCGGAGGGATCCGCTTCGAGTAGTCAGACGCCCCCTCCCCGACCCGCCTCGGGGGCCGGCGCGCCCGAACTTGGCTGCAGCGCGTCACTGGGCCGTACCCCTGCCGGAGGGGCGCCGGGGGCGGGGGCTAGGACTCTGAACTTCAAACGCTGTAGTTTGCGGAATCGTGAATTTGCGGGGAGAGGCAGACCTCGTCCAGGGAGATCGGTGTCGCCCCCGCCCACCCCATACATCCCCACGCTACCCTGCTAGCTAAAGGAATGCGGTAGAAATAGATTGGTGCTGTCAACGAAGGAAGTGGGGGCTAAGGCGCCAAAATCCGTGTGGAAAGGACAGCGGTATGGCCTGGACTGTGCTACACCATTCATTCATTCGCTCTTTCTTTTAGCAAATATTTCTTAAGCGCCTCACTGCGTAGCAATGTGCTCAGCACAGTGGCGCAGCTCCTTCGAGGACCGAGACTTCTTTGCAGCGGGCTAGGCATTCAGGGAAGGAGGAGCTGGGATGAAAGCAAGATCCTGAAAGGTCAATAGAATTTGTATAAGACAAGGAGACCAGCAAAGGATATTCATTGCAACATTGTAATAGCCAAAAATTAAAAACAACCTAAATGCCCACCCTTAAAGGAATGGATGAATAACGCGTGGTATATTTATGAAATGAAATGCAATACAGTAATTGAAAAGACCGTATTTATATATGTTATAGAGATAAATCTTAAAAACTAAATGATAGTGAAAATACTAATTGCAGAGGAAACATAAAATGTATCATTTACATAACCTGTGGATCATGACCCCTTTGTAACAATGAAAATACGTCCTGCATATCAGATATTTACATTACAATGCATAACAGCAGCAAAATTACAGTTATGAAGTAGCAACGAAAATAATTGTATGATTGGGAGTCACCACAACATGAGGAATTATATTAAAGGGTCTTGGCATTAGAAAAGTTGAGAACCACTGCTATATGCATACTTATAGTAAGGGAATATAACCAGAAGAGTACTTTCTGGTACTTCCAGGGCAGGAGAGTGGCAAGTGATAAGGCCTGGGTCCAAGTGGGCTTCTAAAAAAACAAGAGTTCCGGGGGACTCCTGTGGCTCAAAGGAGTAGGGCGCTGGCCCTGTATACTGGAGGTTGTGGGTTCAAACCCAGCTGCAGCCAAAAACTGCAAAAAAAAAAAAAAAAAAACCAAGAGTTCCGTGGGCCTCTCATCCCAAGGGAGAAGCATCATAAAGGCAAAGGTAGACACAAGGGTATAAGTCGATGAGTTCTGACACTGTTAGTGGTGAAGGGAGGGAAGAAGGGGGGGGGGCTCTTTGGGCCACATTATGCAGAATTTGAATGTTAACTGAAAGGATGAGGAGACAATTATCTCTCAGGTGACAGAAAACCACTGAAGGTTTTTGAACAGAGGTGAGACTTGATGGGGAGGAAAGTTGCTCTGATAATCCTGTATAAAATTGAATGTCAGAAACAAGAAGTGAACTGGAACCCCAGAAGTTTGTGCAACAACCCAAGCGTGGAGTGATGAAGGCCTGAATTAATGAGGTCGATGTCAGAAGAAATGGATATGAGACAATCTTGAAAAAAAAACTGAGGGTGGGAGTTGGAGCAAAACCTATTCTGACTAATTGGATGTGGGAGTTTACAATCCTGTTGGGATGGGAAATTCTACCCACAGAGCCTCTCCCTGACTCCTATCGGATAAAATCCAAACTTCGGAAAAGGGTACACCGAGGCCTTTCCCTCCCTGGGCCCCATCTCCTGTCCTCCCTGTCCTGATTGTGAACTTTGTACCATAACAAGACTATATAACTTGAGATTTCCCCAAACATATTTTGTAACTTTGGTTCTCTTGGCTTAAAACAACTCATCTTTCTCTCTTTCTCACCTCCTCTTGATGAACTTCTGATTATCATTCATATTTTAATACTTAGAAGCCTTTGCCAACACTGTACTGAATTCCTACCCCTCATACTCCCAACCTTGTACTACTTCTTTATCTTACCATAATATCAATTTTTCAGTCAAGATTCTTGGTATTTCTATTTTCTCAGCTACATTAGGAGGTCTTTATGAACAAAGTCGGTGGCCTGTTCATCTCCAGCACCAATCACATAATAAATGTTGAACTAGAATGTAAAGCAACACTGAATGAGTGCACATCAGTATAAGTATAGGCCTAAGATGCCCCAAACTCTATATTAATAAGCTCTTTAGAACAGATAAGCAAGTAGTAGTAGTATCAAAAGTACTTACTCTTGGATGCTAGAAACTCTTCTCAAAATAATATAATTGCTCAAAAATAGTTTTGGAATTTCTTTCTTGTGTTGTTTTGTTTTGAGACAGAGTCTCATTTTGTCAACCTGGGTAGCTTGCCAGGGCCTCATAGCTCATAGCAACCTCATACTCCCGGGTTCGAGTGATTCTCTTGCCTCAGCCTCCTGAGTAGCTGGGACTATAGGCACAGGCCACAACACTCAGCTAGTTTTGCTATTTTTAGTAAAGACAGGGTTTCCCTGTTGCTCAGGCTGGTCCTAAACTCCTGAGCTCAAGCAATCTACCTGCCTCAGCCTCCCAGAGTGCTAGGATTATAGGCCTGGCCAATTTTGGAATTTCTGTTGTGTAAATACATTTGGACAAAGACAATAATACTTTTTATTTGTTGACCTACATACTGTTACCAGTTTGATCACCCTCTTTACTTACTAAACATAGATCACAGTGACTTGGCTATGTAAAAACGTGAAAAGTCACCTACAAAGATCAGACTTGTCACTATTAAAATATATTCAGAAGACTATAAGGTAGTTATCCCCAAAGAGCAACTGTAGCAGTGACTGCAGCTATGACATTATTAAAATAAATGTGCAGTTTCTCAAAGTGACTATTTTAAAGAAAGCAGTTATTATGTTCACATAGAACTTTTGCTGAATTTGTTATAATGTTAAACTTATCACATAAGTACAAACCTTATGAATGGAAGTAGGAGAAGGCTGTGACTGAAGAAATATTTATTTATTTACTTAGAGACAGAGTCTCACTCTATTTCCCTGGGCAGAGTGCCATAGCATCATAGCTTACAGCAACCTCAAACTCTTGGGTTCAAGCGATTCTCTTGCCTCAGCCTCCTGAGTAACTGGGACTATCCAAGCCTGCCACAACGCCTGGCTAGTTTTTTCTAATTTTTTAGTACAAACAGAGTTTCCCTCTTGTTCCGGCTGGTGTCAAACTCTTGAGCTCAGGCAATCCAACTGCCTCAGCCTCCCAAAGTACTAGGATTACAAGCATGAACAACTGGGCCTGGGCTGAAGAAATATTTTAAAACAAATGTTTTGAAGGAAGTGATGGATATAAATTGGTCAGAACAAAACAAAATAGGAGCAGAAAACCAAGGGCAGGAATTGAAACCAGCAAAGACTAAGTAAGAGATGAGCGCAACCAAGTCCAACCCATCAACTAGCATTTTAGTGAATATGTACCATGGGCCAGATGCTGTGCAAGGAGCTGAGGGATAAAAAGAGAGAGACAAGTAAACTGACAATTCAGATCCAGTATAACAAGTAGGGTATTGTGGGTTTGTGGACTGTCTCAGCCAGGGTAGTCAGGAAAGTCTTCCGGAAAGAACTCAACAGCTAGGCTAAAAATTGGGGACCAAAAAATTAATTTTTAAGAAAAGAGATTTCTCACATTTAGCGGTTTAAAGTTGCTCCAAGCACAGAAAACAACAAGCATAGAGGCAGGCAAACAGAAATCAGAGCTTATTCCCTGACCTAGGAAGGTAAGGAGGTAGGCAGAGGCTGTGGGAATGCAGAAAAGATGGGAACTGGGTTCTAAGACTAATAACTGTGTAGATGAGAGAGGAAAGATAGATCAAGGAATCAGCAGGGACCTCAGTACCTTGAGCCATGATGTGGCCATTCCTAGAGGTGGGAAAAACAGGGGGAGGAAAAGATTTGGTAGAGGAGATAGGTAGGCAAGAAATCAATACAGCTGGAGTAAAAGCAGTGCCTGTTGACTGATCAGTGGTATGGCATTGCACTCTCGCAATTGGCCTTTCCTCAAAGTTAAGCTTAAATTCCACTGTATGCATTTAGGTGACTATTTCCCTGTCCCCTAATAGAACCCAGGGGGACTTGTGTTGGTGTTTCAAAACTTGAGTAGCAGCTGAGCACATGAAATGCCAGGATCAGCCCAAAATGTACTCAGCAATTTAATTACTGGAGTGGAATGGGAAATAGTTTTCCCCAAGGATAGTGCTTCTAGTGGACGCAAATCCTACATTATAAGAGAAATTGGCAAGAAAATATTCACGGGGGTGGGGGTCCAATAATGAATCGCAGTTGTTGCTGTTCTTTAAAGTTCCATAGCTGCACTGATAAAAAGAAAAACGGGATTCCACAAACTTTCATCTAAAAAAAAAAAAATCCCAGTCTCCACCATTGAAATCCAAAAACCACTAACAGTAGAAAAACATGAATAAAGACTACCAAACTAAAACTATATGTATATGTCTTTGCTAATTAAAATGCATATAAGTTTGCCTCCCAAAACTAATGCAGGATTGGTTACTTATTTGTTCTGGTATCTATCCTCTCAGATCCAATATGCTGTAAAAATCTTCAAGGGCAGAGCCTGTTTAATTCTTTTATTTTGGCCCAGTTTCTAGCATAGAAGTGTAAATAAGTGCTCAATGATACATGTTTTAAATGAATGTTACATAAGGAACATGTAGTTCTATATAAACTGGGGATAGATACAAGATTGGAAGACTGTCTAGGTGCTGTGGAGTTGTCAAACATAGAAGCGACTCCCCTTATCTTGCCCTATAAACCAAGAACCCAAGGATATGTGATGTTTGTGGAAGCAGAAATTAAAAGGAAGATTTCTCTTAATAATGCCCTACACTTGTGCAGTGCTTTAGACTTTCCAAAACACTTTTAAGTATGCTATCTCATTTGATCTTCAATGAGATA